ATCGCCTCCCCTGCTTGGGAGAAGGGGGAAGCAGCTGTATGCGATGAAGTTGCCCGGTGATTCAGTGGGAAAAGTAAGCTGGGACATCGCTCTGTTTCTCTGTGGTCCTCATCCTCCCCTGCACGTGTGGCAATGCTGTGTCAGGTGGCGGAGACCCCAGCGGCTCCTTTCTGCCTGGGGATTCTTAGATGCTCATTTCTAAATATTGTACAATGGGCAACATTTTTTTCCTAATGGCAAAAATTCTTTCCTTTCTGCCTTCCTGGAATAATTATGACTTGGTTTGGCATAGGTAAATGTTTCCTACTTTGAGCCACTTCCCAATTAGAAATAGCTGGAATAAATGGGTTAAGAACATCATTTCTATGCATTGTTTTCAGATTTGTCTGTGAGCAGGAGTGAGAATAGATAGATACAAGATTCCTACTGAATGCTCCCTCTGCTGTCATGCTCCTTTCTCACCCCCATGTCTACTCCCATCTACCCATTTTAGGGAGCAAATGACCAGATTAACCACCTGTCTCCATGCCACCCTCACCAACCTCAGAGCCCCACTAAGACAGTGGCTTCTGGAGGGAAAGGACCCATGCTGACCTCAGAATCCACCGTGGACTAGCTGTGTGACCTGGCCTCGCTCTGCCTCTCTCTGGTCCTCAGTTTCCTCATTTGTTAAAGGAGATTCATCTCTACTAATGGGCCTTTGTAAGGATTGAAGCTGAGTTGGGGAGAAGTCCCAATGTCTCCTATCAGCCTCTCTTGCAGATGTTTCCACTTCTGCATCTGACATAGACTATGTCATGCCTAAATACCCTTCCTACTTTGCTTTGCCAGGGTCTACTCCAAAAGAATCCACACATTTGCCATTTCAGGACTTTTTTTTTTTGTACTGGGAATCAAACTCAGGACCTTGTACTTGCAAGGCAGGCGTGGTGCCACTGAGCTAAATCCCTGGCCATTTCAGGATTTCTTGTGTGACCCTTGTCACTTGGCTCTGGCACCCCTGCAGCTGCCTGTGTGTGTGCATCTCCCTTGAAGCTGCAGCATTGCCACCAACCTCACCCGGAGAGGTGTGGGGCGCCGGCCACTCCGGGTGCCTCTTGTTCTCCCCAGTGACTTACCTGGACTAATCTTCCTTGTCGTAGTTGTGGAGTCATTAGTGGCTGTTACCAAATGGTGACTTATCTCACTTTCACAGTGCACCCAGCCCTAGCATTCAGTTTTCACTCGTTGGGACCCCGAGGCCAGGCTTGTTTCTTTGCTCTGGTTGACACTCTTCCGGCTGCTCCATGCTCTTCCAGCTCTGGGGATCTCTCCTGCCCAGGATCAGGTTGCAGTGCATTGGTGACACTGGTGAAAGTCAGTGCCGCTCCTGGGGCTTGGCCGAGAACGTGCATTCTACACTTTAGGTGCAAAGGAATTGTTTGTCTTCCCTGTCTGTCCTCCTTTGAGTTGTAAAATCCGCTAGGGAGAGATTTTTTGTTTTTGTTTTTGTTCTTATCAGCTCCCACAGGAGAGTAGTTGAACCAGGACTGTGGGCTTAGAGGGAGCCCACAGCAGTGCTTGTCACAGGCCCAGCACAAAGCTGAGCACCCTGGCCCCAGCCCTGCTTGGTTCATGGACTGCATGTGGAGCTGCACTGCTCATGTCGCTAGTACTTAGGGCTTGAAATCTCAAGCATTGAGTCAGTTTCCCAGCCAGCCTCTGTAGCCTGAGCTCCCCAGGTATCATTAATTTAAAATGTACAAAACCAGCCAGGTGTGGTGGAGCGTGCTCATAATCCCAGTACTCTGGGAGGCTGAGGCAGGAGGATCACAAATATGAGCCCAGCCTCGGCAACTTAGTGACTTAGCAAGACCCTGTCTCCAAACAAAAACAAAAACAAAAATGTTTCTAAATAAGCGCTGGAGTGGGGGGGAGTAAAAGGCCAGGAATGTAGCTCAGGGTGAAGGCCCTGGGTTCAGACTCCGGTACCGCCACGCACACACACAAAAGTACAAAACATTTCCCATCTTGCGTGCATAGAAACGCACATGAGTGCATGCATACTAGGAAGTTGCTTGCTTTCTGAGTCAGGAAGGTTGGTACCCAGTGGCAGCCTCGGGTGTCCACATGGGCACATCCGTGCACACACACAAGCTCACACCCACATTCAGTGTGGATGCCATACAGTGGACTGAGCTTCCCCTGAGTGAGCACTGTGGGGCGGGGAGCTGCTGCCTATCTGAGATGACTGCAGGGAGACGTAAGCCGGGGCTCTGAGCTCAGAGGGCTGGCAGCCCAGCTGTGAATATCAGAGGATCAGTTAAAGGTCCATGCCCCCTTCCTGCCTTCCTTCCTGGGACCAAACGCAGGGCCTTGTACATGCTAAGCACATACTAAGCACAGGCTTGACCATGGAGCTACATCCAAGCAAGGCCCTCTTCTTTCATGGCCCTGAGATCCAGCTGTTGGTAAGAAAGAGCCAATTGTGAGCCAGGGATGAGTGAATCCGTTTGCCCTTTGCTATTTTCTACTCCTCAAGCTGTATTTGCTTGATTTGAGTAAGCAAATAAGAAATGATCATCCCAAGAAGGATTTCTTTTTTCTTTTCCTGTCTAAGCAGCTCACCGGGGTGGTTCACCTGAAAGGGAGCCACAGACACCACCAAGTTATGGGGTGGGACACAGTCTTTCAATCCAGCATCCACAGGGGTGAGACAAAGAGCCCCTGCCTTGTGTGACAATAGGAGGAAGAAGAGGCTGGCCAGAGTTGCCCCTTGAGTCTTTAATGGTTCAATTTTTTCATGAATTTTATTGGTACATTATAGGTATACATTATGATGACTTTCATCATTGGGAATTTGTACCTGTACACGATCTATCTTGGTTCTTATTTTTTCCCCATTCCCCTGCCCTCCGCTCGATGCCTCAACCCCTCCACCTCTCCCTATTTACAGTTTGTTTCCTTTTTTTCCTTCTTTTCTCATACATTTTTTTCTTTCCCTTCTTTCCTTTCCCCTTCCCCTTCCCCTTTGGACCTTTTCTTCCTATTTCACATTATCTATTATACATTTTGGTCCTCATTTACCCTTTCAGTTTCTCACACCAGAGAAGCAATTCAGTATTTATGCACGTGTGTCCTATTTATTTCACTTAAGAGTATGACCTCAATGTGCATCCACTTAGCCATAAATGTCTCTAGTTTATCATTCTTTATGGCTGAGTAGTACTCCATTTTATATTTTAAAAAACCCCACATCTTCTTTATCCAGTCACCAGTTGATGGGCATTTGGGCCGTTTGCAAGATTCAGCTGTTACAAACTGTGCCCTATAAACATGGGTGCCCATATGTTGCTGTATGATTCTTTTGGGGAAGATCCCCAGCAGGGGAATAGCTGGGTCAAATGGGACTTCTAGTCCTAGTTCTTTGAGGTATCTCCATACTGATTTCCACAGTGGTTGCACCAGTCTACACTCCCTCCAGCAGTGGAGCAGGGTTCCTTTTTCCCCACAGCCCCTCCAGCATTTGTTATTGGTTGATTTCTTGTTAGCAGCCATTCTTTCTGGGGTGAGGTGGAATCTCAGCGTTGTTTTCATTTGTATCTCTCAGATGACCAGTGGCCCCTCGATTCTCATTTAGACTTGAGAAATTTTTCCTCTAGCCTTCATCATAGGAGCATCTCCTACTTGTGGAGGTTCTGTGACTGGAGAAGGGAAGGGGCAGTAGGGAGAGTCCTGTCAGTAGTGGTCCAGGGCGTGGACTATCACAGTAAGCAGGAAGCTCCTGCCTGCAGTCGAGGGCATGGCATGGATCTTCCCATCCTGGACACTTTTCAGAATGCATGGGGTTACTGGATAACTCCAGTGGAGGAGGGCTGGGGGTTGGCTCGGTGCAGAGCACTTGAAATATGACATCCAAGTCATGCCTACCAGGCTCACAGCGGAGAGCCTGCTTCCTGATGGTGCCTCCACATGTTTAAGATTTACTCCAAACCCACTTCCTCCCAAGCTTCCTCCATCTGCTGTGAACCGAAGTCTGATGCTGTCCTTTGCTCTCGTCCCCTGAGTCTCAGAACCTCTCTGACTGCCTGGCTTCCTGTTGGTACTTGTTCATGTACATCTGCTTCCTCCTGTCCATCTGTAAAGCTCCCTCCCTCACTCCATACTGGAGGAGCCCCATCCCACCACACTACCTTTGGGATTCTACACCCACACAGGAGTGATGTGTCTGCGAATCTGATTGGCCGAGTCTGACATCTGAGTGGGTCCCCCTGAGGCAAGAAACAGGGACACATGAAATTCTGTAGGGCTATGGGAGGGAAGGAACACAATACAGACAGTAGCAATCAGTACAGTCCAAGCACTTTCATGTACTCCATTCTCATTGAATCCACAGAATCCTATGTAGGTAGCCTTGTTGTTCCATTCTCATGAATCAGGAAACTACATCAGAGAGAAGTTAACTTGTTTGGCACCACTTAGCTGATGAATGGCCAAGTCAGGAAGCTTAAGTCAGCCGGTCTAGTTCTGGAATCTGTCCTAATCAGTACCCAGCATAGGTGTTGCTTTGTTTGGCTTTGCTTTGCTTTGCTTTGCTTTTTGCAGTACTGGGGATTGGACCCGGAGCCTTTGCACTGAGCTATATCCCCAACCCTTTGTTAATTTTTTTTTTTATTTTGAGACTGTCTCATTAAGTCACTAAGTTGCCCAGGCTGAATTCAAACTTATGATCATTCTGCCTCAGCCTCCCAAAGTACTGGGATTATAGGTGTGCACCACCATGTGTGGCTGGGGCACTGAGTTTTCATCTTTTTATCCTTCCTAGTACTGTACCTGGACATTGGGCGCTGAATATCTACTCAGCCAGTGTTTGCTGGATAACAGCCTGCAGGTGAATGAATGACCCATCAGTTTAGAAGTAGAGGGTTCCGGGTGTTGGAAGCTCCCTCTTGCTGCTGCTTGCCCACGTGTCACTGTGTGCCTTTTCAAACCTCTCTACCTCTCCCTCTCTTTCTGCTCAGACAAGAGTGAGAACGGCGAGGCATACCAGAGGAGGAAGGTGGTGGCTGGTGGTCCCCTAGAGGGTCCTGCTCCCCTGGCACCTTCTCCAGGGCACCTGGCGCAGCCCAGCAGCAGCAGCTGGAGGAGAATCACGTTGCTCATCTTGGCCATCACCATACACAACATCCCAGGTGAGGACTTGAGCTCTTGGCCACCTGTCAGGAGTCCGGACGGAGAAGGGGTAAGGGGTGGCTATGGAGGTGGAAGTACAGCCTTTTCTTTTCTTTTCTTTTCTTTTCTTTTCTTCTTTTTTTGGTCCCGAGGATTGAACTCAGGACCTTGCACTTGCGAGGCAGCTGCGGTGCCACTGAGCTAAATCCCCGGCCCAGCCCTTTCTTGAATTTATGTTTTGAGTAACTCTTTGTGGGTTAAAACATCCCATTCTCGTCACTTTAAATAGCTTCTGCTGTTTCTACCTAGGAGTTCCTGTCTTTACATATTTGGTAGCAAGTTATTGGAATATAATTTTGTAACCATTAGGTGACTGCACTGGTGGAGGGTCCTTTTATAAATATATTTTTGGTTCTGCCTAGAGCTTTGTAAAAATATTGACTTAACTGCCTTCTTTATGGGGGCATCTTTCTGCAATGTCCTTACCAACCTTTTCCTGTTTAGCATTGTGGATTAGTGTGTTTTATGTCTTTGGATTAATTTAAAATGGGGAAAAAGACTTACTGATGTTTTATTTCAAAAACCACGTGCTTTCAGAACAATTAGAAAATAGAGGTAAATATCAAAATAATAAATAATAAAGGTATTATAAAAATAAGTAAATGGAGGGACTTGAGCTCCTTTGGTTTTATCTTGGAATTCCAGCTCTGTCTCTTACTAATGAGCTTATCTTAGAAAATTGCTTGAACTTGCTGAACCTTGGTTTTCTCATCAGTTAAAGGGGAGTAAGGCTACCACTAGCTTATTTTGAGGATTAGACAAGAGGCTAAATGTACCTACAGAGTTTGGTGCAGCCCTTGACCTTATGAGACCTTGACACATGGAAACCATTATTGGCGTGGACGGCACCATTCCCTGCCTTTCCAACCTGGACATCTACAGTCTTCAGTTCTGGAACACGCTGAGCCATCTTTGGTTTGTTCTAGGACCTAAGTCTGAGCAGGTGCCTTTCCCAGGGAATGTCCCAAGTGCTTTATTTTCTGAGTCCCTGCCGAGTTCATGGTGCTCATCTGTCACTCTGTGACAGGAGAAACACATGATAAAGCAGAGCTTTCAAATCACCACATTTTTCTCTTAAAAGTTCATCCATATGTTATTCCATCCACTTCTGGCCTTAATATTATAGAGGAAAGGCCAAAGTCAAGCTAAGTTTATTCCTCTGTGAAACTTGATATATTTTTGCTTGTTGTTATGCCTTGGAACGAAAATGTTCCTCTGAAGGCTCATGTATTGAGAGATGGGGCTTCACAGGGTAATTGGATCATGGAGGTGCTGCCCTCATCAATGGACTAGTTCATTGATTAGTTCACAGCTGAATGTGCTGTTTAGAAGAGGGGCCTGGTTGGAGCAGGTGGATCACTGAGGGCATGACCAAGAAAAATGTGTCCTATCCCAGCCACTTCTGTCTCTCTTCTTTCTCTGCTTCCGGTTGCTATGAGATAAGCAACTTTCTTCTGTCACGCCTTTCCGCCATGATGTTTCCTTCTGCCTTGGAGCCAGCTGACCGTGGACTGAAAGCTCTGGAACTGTGAGCCCAAAGAAATTCTTCTTCCTTTAAGTTATACATACCAGGTATATTGTCCCAGCAATGGAAAACTAACTGGCACAGCAAAGATACTTTTTGCTGTCTTTATAAGCTGAAAATTCTAATTCCTATTATATATATCCCAGTGCATATTAAATCCAGTGAAAACATGCTATGTCCACTCACTTTTTAAGCTCAACTATTCCCCTGGATGAGAAGCATGCTCCTCTATTGTTTCAATCCCAGTCTTAGTAATTTCTACTCTGTGGTTGTGTGTAGGCTGTTTTCCCAGAATTTTTGTCATGGCCTGTTTCTCTCTCACTTCCCTCTTGGCTCTTTCTCTTTGGGTCATGAGTAAACTTTTTAGTTTGATTTTCTAGAGATTCCCATTCAGTGTGTCTTGAACCCAGGTCTTGTGTGAAGGGAACTGCAGTGCACAGAGGGGACCAGAGTTGATTTCCCTCGTGGGAGGGTCTGGCCATATTCTCTGCCAAGGTCTTAAAAAACCCATTGGTAGATGAGGGCTCTGCAGTTCCTTCCAGCCCATAAGATACTGATGGCTCAGGCCAGGATGGAAGTGGCTAAGGTGGCGAACAGGGGGACTATCTGGGTCTCCATCAAAGGGGGGACGGGCAGTGGGATCTACCCGTAGGTTGGACGCGAGACGTGAGAGCAAGAGATGATGATGAGGAACCCAGGTGTCTCAGAGCTGGCTGCTGCAAGGTGGCCTTGCCATCAGCTGAGCTGGGGCAGATTTTAAGGGAATCTTAGGGTTTCATTTTGTATTGTGGGGCTTGGTGGAGATACCGATGAGGCAGCTGGTCACACAAGTTTGGAGGTGAGGAGCAAAGTCTGGCTAGAACTATATACATTTGTGAGTCATTGGCACATGAGTGTTATTTAAACCCATGGCACTGATGAGATCATCAGGGGTCTAAATCCAGAGGAATGGGGCTCTGAAACCCTGCTGTGGCTCCTTCCTTGAGTCTTCAGTTCTTACTTCGTCTAAAGAGATAGTAACTTACCCATAGTCACCTTAGCAGCATCATGCCCTTTGATGACGACTGCTTTAGGAGCCTGTCTGTAGCCAGCTTGTCTTTGAAAAGGTCTCTTCTTTAACACTGTCCTTTATAGTTTATTAAAAATTTAGCTACACCTTTGACATTCCCCGAGACTGTGGGTTTAAAGATAGGCTTTTCACAATGACTTAGTGGATAATTGGTTTTTGAAGGTTTTTCTTTTTTACAATGCTGATTCAATTTTTTATGTCCCATGAATGACATTTTGTTTAATTTTTCTTTCAATGTGGAAGGAAAAAAGAAAGCTTGATAATGAGTCTTCTGGCTCCTGGAGGTTTCTCAAGTGTGAAGACACAGCCATGGCACTTGTGCAAACCAAGGGCACTGGGGTTAATAATGTGATGCAGGCATGCAAGGACAGATGAGTTCCACTGCTGCTTCACAGTCTTCCTCTACACTCTGAAAAGCTAGGGACCCATGCACAAGACAGTGTTGTACATCCATCTTAGTTCTTTCAGGCTAATGTAACAAAGTACTGTAGACTGGGTGACATATATTGCCATAGACCTTTACTCCTCACATTCTGGAGGCACGAAGTCTGAGATCAAGGTGTGTGGTTAGGCTCTGGTGAGGACCCTGTTCTGGGATGCAGATGGCCCTCTTCTCATTGTGGCCCCTGGTGGTAAAAAAAAAAGGGTGTGAGAGCTCCCTGGAGCCTCTTTATAAAGGCACTAATCCCATTCCCAAGAGCTCCACCCTCCGGATCCAATGAACTCCCCACGGTGCCACCTCCCAATACCATCACCTTGGGGGATAGCTTTCAACATATGAACCTGAGCAGGACACATTTAGACCAGTGGTGGCGGAGCTATAGCACATGTACTGCGGCAGGCTATTTGTATCATTGAAATCTCTAAAAGGTTCACCATCACTGATTTAGACCATAGCAATATAGCATCTTATGGGCAGTCTTAGGGATTTTGGCCCCATGAAGATTGTCCACATCCTTAGAGCAGGGAAGAATCCCCAGTTTAGAGGAAAAAACTGTATAGTTGGGCAGACAGTTTATATGATTTAAAAAGAAATGATGATGAGGGGCAGAGGGCCGCAGATGTGACCCCCTGGTGTATGCCCCAGAAGGGAGATGCTTTCCCCCTGGCCGCTGCCTGTGTGTATCTATGGTGAGCTTTGGCCCCTGCTCCAGGCACTGGAAAACAATAGTGGGGGAAACATCATGTTTTCTATGCAAGCACAGTGCCACGACAGTGCTTTTCCTGTAGTATCAAGCGAACTCAAGGGCCATAAGCTTTTGAAGAGTCCTGGACCTTAGGAAACAAGCTCTCTCTTTGTGTTTGAGTGGAATTAAAAATCAAAAAGCAATTGAGTTCTAGTAATCTCTTTTCTTGAGTAGTTGATGGCCTCAACAGTACAGTGCTTTGCATGAGAGAAAGTTAAATTTAAGCCTGAAGGGATTCTAGAGGTTATCTCATTTAAATGTCTCTCCAGTTGAAAACAGAGGGTCACTATTAATTTATCACCCTGGCTCCTCCCAGCCCAAATGTGGGATGATTCTGTGAAGCATAATACAAGTAGTACATTATGAATTTCATTTCAATTTAAAATTTTTTTTTTATCCTGGGAATAGAACCCAGCCGCAGAATTTCATTTATTTCTCCACTCACCATCCACTATTTCCTTTTGTTATGGTAGATATCACTCTGAGTTGTGATTATTTAAACATGTTTGTTTCTCCCCGTAGATGGAGCTTCTTGTCAGAGGGTCAATGCCATGATCTTTTTTGGATCCAAGGTCACAGCTCACTCTGAATCTCTGCTCTGTTCCACACATAGTGTAGACCAGAGCATCTAGAGTGACAAGGGCTTTTGGTCCCCACCCTCTGGTATACAGGAAGAGCAGCTGTTCGAGAGTTAGATGACTAGTTCTCTTTCTGCGTTGGCTTCCAGGTGGGCCAAAGGTGGGTGTTTGACTCATGTAGATCTTGATGAGTGTTTGAGATTATTTATAAAGATCCACAGACACAGAAGCTGGATGAATCACACACTTTTCATTTTCCTCTCTTTAGCGTCAGGAGCCAAGTTCATTTTGCTGGCTGTTGCAGTGACAGAGACCCAGGGCCATGTTTATATCTTGGGGATGGCACAGCAGTTGGTTTTAATTATTGGTCTTGTCATCATTGATGTTTCCTAATAATGGCTTCAAAAGAAATGCTCAAGGTTTTAGTCAAGCGATCTTTGTTTGGGGGAACAAAAACATCGATTTAGACAACAAACTATTGACAGTGGTTGGTTATTCCTGGGTGATGGAATGAGGCCTGATTTTTATTTGCTTCATGTTTTTGTGAGATTTATAACTCAGATAAAAATGTTTTTTGGAAGGGGGACCTCCATTGCCTCAA